TATTTATATGTAAAATGACAGTTTGTATACTCTGAAACCAATTAGTCATCAAAATTGATGACTGTGTTGTAAAAGTCTGTCATGCTGCTTATGAATACGTTTTGTGTAATTTTTGTTGAAAAATAGACATAAAGCTATAGTTAAAAAACACACAGGCAATTTTTAATCTGTATATCTATATATCTGTAGATGTGGTTGTAATCAGAGGAACCTCATAGATAAATGGGAGAGTATTACCAAACATGTGGCCCACAATTAGATAGGCTTGGGCCTGTTCTTTATCCCAGTAAACTGCTTCTACCTAACACTGATTGGTACAGAAAAGGCCACACACTCAGTGATTGAATTTGACATAGGAGTTTGGTTATTAGCAACTCTTTCAGTCTTGTTCCTGCTAGTGATGGAGTGGATGGAGGGGATCCATTGGTGGCCTAGTGTATCGTTATTTACCTTGGTATTTGTGGAATATCTTCTGTGGGGTGCAATACAGAGATATAATTAGTAGGTTGATTAAGCACGTTGTATTTCCAGTGGTTATATTAATATAAGTTATATTATATTATGTTGTTCTGTTTTAATCAGGACTGTGGGTTTGGTGTTATTCTGATGTTGTAATGGGTTTTCATATAAATGTGGGTTGTATATTATATGTATGTTTTCTGTCTGTTTCTATAAAAACCTTTTTGAAAAGTGGACGAACCTATTAATCATTATTTAGGTTATAATACACTTAAAAGGGACACTATAGTCACAAAAATAACATCAGCCTAATGAAGCTGTTTTGGTGTATATATCATGCCTCTTAGTCTCACTGCTTAATTCTCTGCCATTTAGGATTTAAATCACTTTATTTATGCAGCCCTTGTCACACCTCCCTGCATGTAACTTGCACAGCCTTCCTAGACACTTCCTGTAATAGGTCATAAAATGTTTGCACTTCCTTTGTTGCAAATTCTATTTAATTTAGAATTTCTTATGTCCTCCTCTGTTAACAGCTTGCAAGACCCTGCAGGAACATCCTGTGTGTGATAAAAGTTCAATTTATAGAGCAGCAGATAAAATTGTTTAAAGTAAGTTACACCTGATTGAAAATTAAACCATTTTGTTTTCATGCAGACTGTGCCAGTCACAGCCAGGGGAGGTGTGGCTAGGGCTGCATAAACAGAAACAAAAGTAATTTAACTACTAAATGGCATGGAATTGAAATGTAAGACTTCCGGTGCACAATGTATACACGAACACTGCTTCATTAAGCTAAAGATGTTTTGGTGACTATATTCCAGATTGAAGGTAGTACAATGAAAATCTAAAAGAACGCAATTTTAAAATGATTAACGCTCTAATTTTTCAGGTTTTTCAATTCACTACAACTTAGAATTTATCATATTCTTTACTGAACATATTTGATCTAAAATATGTTTTGATCGAATTACTAAATATATCCTTTGAGTAGAAATAAAAAAGCTTGGCACATCTCACTCCAGTTCCCTGTAAAGCAATGGTCCTGAACATAAAGTGAATTAGGTTAGCAAGAGTAGAGGATACATTTCAGTTAAAGTGCAGTCCTAAGCATCATGTTTTTTTCTTTTCTCAAGACTCGAACCGCCAGGGAATGAAACATAAAGTGTTCTCTTGGTTGTCAGTAAAGTGGTGCCTGCAAACATGCTTATTCAAGCAAAGTATTGCATTTCCCAAAAACAAAACAAAATAAAAATAGTTTAGAGTATAGACAACCATATAGTGCTCTTTGTGAGATTGAACTGTACACATTTTGAAACCACACACCTAGAAACAACAGTAAAAATAAAACACATAGCCTGCCTGTATTTGGAGAGATCATTTCTAATTTAAAGATAAAGTTACAAATGAGTTTACATTTAAAGGGATAAGATAAGAAACTGTTTTATAGAAAGAATATAAAATAACTGGAATAGTCTTCAATAAGTTTACCATAAAGACTCACTCCTTTCTTATTTACCTAAATAATAATAACAACAAAGTGTTAAAGCAGGAAAGGTACATTCAGATAGCTTAATAATTTTCAGAAAGGTGACAGTTCTTTTTCCAGGTCTAGATAAAAAAAATAATATTTTCTGGGCAGAAGCCATACTTTTTGAAGCAATTACCAACCAGTTTTTTAAATTAATGTAAATATACAAAAACAAACAAACAAATTAAAGATTACCATTTTTTTACATACACCAAGATGAGCCTGCTGTTAGTCTCCTCTGGGGTACCCAAATCCTTCTGTAGAAAAGAACATGATTTGTCTATAACTATGACAGACAAAATATGGTGGACAAAAGTATGTGAATTCTGGCTGTTAGCCATTCATTTTTATTAATCTCATACAGTTTTCCTGGGTTATATACAGCCATTCATCCCATCAGGTTCCAGTATTTATTAATAAAAACAAATGGCTAGAACTCCAAACATAATTTAGGTGCGAGTATAGAGGTAAATGCTTAACTGTGTTCATTAAAATCAATATTAGATTTAATTGGCCACTCATCGGACATCATCAATTATATAATGAAGGCTTGAATTTGGCATTCAAACTGTGTATGGTCAATTACATCTAATAGTGATTTTAATCATCACAGTTAAAGCGGCACTGCCATGCCGAACTTACCTTTCTTTAATCGATTCCTCTTCTCTCCCTCTGCCAGGATCTGTTCTTAATTTCTGCCTGTCTGCTCTAGTTTTCTTTAAAACATAAGACAAAGTAAGGACTACTTTCCTACACTTGACCAGCTTTGACCCAGGGAAGGAGCAAAGTGTGCTTCGTTTCCGGTGATCAAAGCAATTTTCCCACAATTCTCACCTTTGATCTTGATCTTGATCTTGAGATGCTTCCTGTCAGTATTCCCAAACATCCTGTCACTTAGACAGAACACCAGCGAAACTGCTGAATTTCATCCTAACAGAATGAGAACAGTTTGTTCATTCATGTTTGGACGCAATTCGGGACTTTGTTCGGATCGGAATTTCATTCTAATGAATGGAATTCCGATCCTATTCATGCTACATCTTGCAGCAACTTAGTAGATAGCCCCCTCATTTCCATGGTATTAGGGAGCTATCTACCAAAAGGCTGAAAGACCTAAATTGGTCTTTCAGCCAAATTTACTATTACTAAGTAAAGATAAGTTTTTTTTTTTTTTTTATTCTTTATTTTTGTAGTGTAAAAGATTACAACAAGCTCACAATGCCACAATGTTAATGTAAGCGTTTCTAAATAGACAATTTTAAGGCATTTGATACAACTGCACCTTTTTACAATATAATAAAAAGGCTCGACATGCAAGTTTATAGAACTTATTTTGTTTTGTCAATCATTAAATAATATCAAGATAGTCAGAGAGACCAAAGGCATGTGATCATGAGGACAGGAAACTGCTTTATGTTACCTAGGACTATTTAAAAGTAAATAGCACAAGCCTAGTAGCGATAGGCAAAACATATTAAGTGGTCATGCTTGTGCATGCCCGAGAGGCCCTGTGTCTATCTAGTGGTGGTCCAATAATTAGCGTAATGCCAAGACATAAAAATAGAGCAAATATTACAAAATTAATAAAATAAAACACCATGGTAAACCTCACAGCTCCGACACAGAATATAGACACCAGAACACTAGGTGACCAGAGTAGCTATAGCCAAGCGAGCAACTAGTCGCCGGACTATGTGTCTCCCATACCTGATTACCCACAATACTTCTATTCAAATACAACAGCATTAGCAGACAACAGATCTTACACCAGATCTGGCCGATAGAGAAAAACCTAGGTAGGCACCTGACATAAGAGACGAAAGACAACACATACAGTAACACGCCAGCAGATCCTTAGCACCCTTTGCCCTAGCCGTACACCGGGCAATACAACACCCCTGACTAAACCAACCCCGCTGCCCTGTGACACCTGCAGATTTCTCCTCTCAGGAAGATATGATGTAGCACCATTATGACATAACATAACAAATGTCGACGGGAATACCTGATAGCGGCCACAGCTGCTGAGGGGCGAATGTAGCTTAGGCCAAATCGCCACCGCACTGCCAATGTTTGCCTAGTTAATGTTGTCCAAACAAGACACACCACTAACACGTCAGTGTTCAATCGTTTAATCGTTTAATTATATTGTACTATTGTTTATAACCAGAACACCCTGACGGAGCGCGGATAGGCCAGTTACAAATGTCGAATTCCTTAAAACCACGCTTTTCCTTTATGTAATTTCAATGCTGTGACACTGTGATTTAGCGTTTGCATATGCAGATAACCTTGTACTGAGACCCTTCTGTCAGAACAAAAATAAAATAATTAAAAAAACAAACAAAAAAAAATACCATGGCAAAATAATGATCAAAGAACAAATGAAACACTGAGCAGGTGGTAAGTGTAAAACTTTGCAACTTAGCCTATGTCCTCTGATGGCAATATTTTCTCCAGAACCCTAGGAACCCTAGACATAACAGATCACTCCACTGGAGAAGGTGTTGGGGAGATGTCACCTTGTGGAGGAAGGTTAGGTCCTGTAGTGTCCAGAAGGACCTCATCAGCTTTCCTGTGGGTGCATAAAGTCCCAGGTGTAGGACCAAGGCTCGGGGAGTGTCTGGATGCGGTCCTGGCCATTAGGGAGCGTGGCGGTTTCCGTTGTTTATGTCTGACCCCTGCAGTTATTGCAGTTGCCTTCTTCCCCATCGCTCTGGGTGGTAGCCGTTGGGGAGATTTTTCCATCGGCTCTTGATTTTTCTGTGAGTTCCCTCGCTCCTATAGCCTGCTCCAGAACCTCTCAAACCTTGCATTCAGCTTGGTAAGGGTATCGGCAATGTGGCTACTGGTAGCTGTTGTGTGTGTGGCGTCCGCCATTGCAGGATCACTTTGGCTCTTTTGAGCCTGATGTCACCACCGTCGAGACTTGCAAGATGTGCAATGGGACCTCTGAGGTGTAGACCAGGATTACCCCTGCCGGTCCAGATGGGGGGAAGGGGGGGCGGGAATGGGGCAGCAGTGGGATTCAGTGTCGGGCCACCAGTATTTAGCAAGCCGGGAGAGCGTCTGTCTCTCCTGTCCAGCACCCACACTAGGCCCTATAGCATCCTCTGTGGATTATAAGAGTAATACAGATATCAGCTGGTCCAAGGATGACCCAGCACGGCAGTATAGCGGTGAGTTACTAACAGCTGTAGAATTAGAGCCCCAAAGGGCCAGAAACACAAGTAAAGCAGTGGCAAAGCTTGGAGCTCTTTCAGATTGCAGGCAACCACCATGCAGGTCAGGCTCCGCCCCCAAGCAGGGTTTTTATTTTAACTTGTATTTAAATAAAGCTTGTAGTCTACTTCTACATCACTTTGCTTGGATTACTGCTTACCTGAGTCCCACACCATCTATGATCATTTAATGCACTGAAAGTTTGAGCAGACTAAATATTGCACTGCTCTTGTTTTTGTATTTGGCAAATTTTTATTTGTGTAACAGTGCCTACCGTGATACACTATATGTTCTCTCTTTTCCTTTTATGGTACTGATGGTATGGTATGATACTGAGGAGCTCCATCATATTTATATTGACATGTTCAAAGTAAGTGTTTCCTTTATTTGGAGCACTTTGTGGCTGATTGCACATTTATGCACACATTTTGCACAATATATTATTTACTATTTTTTGTACATTTAACAAATATCACTGTGTAAACCTAGGGTTTTTTGTGCACTTTATGCTTGCTGCACTGTTGCATATTTATTTGTTTGAAAGGTTTAGCGCACCTTTTTTCCATTTGTATTTTTTTTTTAGGAGTGTATTTTATTTGGGATATTACACTGTGTACGTGCAGATTTTGTTTTCATATATATTTTTATGGCCTTTACCATTTTATGGCCTAGTACAGCAATGGGGACCAAGTTCGACGCAGGTTATGCTAATCTTTTTATGTCCCACTGGGAAGAATCTTTTGTCTTTTCCAAGGTTGACATAGGGACAAATCTGGTTCTCTTCAAGCGCTATATTGACAACATTTTTATAATTTGGAAGGGAAGTCAAGAGTCCCTGCTGGATTTTATCGATTTATGTAGATCAAAACAACATTAAAACCAAAACCTTTTTAAAACAAGTTAATATGAATAGTTTTATATATTTTACCAGTTGTCATTTTAAACCGTGGCTTTATAATAGTTGTAAAGGACAATTGTTAAGGTTAATATGAAACTGTACAGAATTGGATAAATATAAAGATCAAGCCAAATTTTTTTTTTTTTAAACTGTTTTTAGATAAAGGGTATGATACGGATACATTGAAAAATACGTGTGAAGTAGGAAAACAATGTACAGTATATACTCGAGTATAAGTCTAGTTTTTCAGTACATTTTTTGTGCTTAAAAACCCCCACTCGACTTATACTCGAGTCACTGTCTGTATTATAGCAACTTAGAGAGCCGTGGCCGTCAGAGCCATTGCAACGATCCGCGTGGCAACCAGACCGTGAGACTTACAGTGGAGCTGACCGGAACAGAGGAGAAGGGAGCTGACAGGAGCTGCAGGAAAGGTAAGTAAATGCTTCCTGCCGGCCCCCCCACTTCACAGCCCATGCCACTGGACCACCAGGGATTAAGATAGCCCCCCTCCCTGACCAGTTAACAAGCAGGGAGGGGGGACAAAAAAAATTAAAATAAAAAAATAATATTAAAATATATATTTTTTTAAATAATAAAATGCCCTCCCCCCACCCAGTTCACACACACTACACAAACACACACTCTGCATTATATACACACTCTGCATTATATACATAGAGTGTGTGTATATAATGCAGAGTGTGTGTTTGTATGAGTGTGTGTTTGTATAAGTGTGTGTGTGTATATAATGCAGAGTGTGTGTTTGTATGAGTGTGTGTGTATATAATTATAAAAAATCACAGAATTTCATAGCCCCAAGTTTTACCCTCGACTTATCCACGAGGCATAGCATATTTCACAATTGTTGGTCACAAAACTGCACTCGACTTATACATGAGATCGACTTATACACGAGTATATACGGTAGGTCAAATTTGTTAGAATATAAGAATAAGAAATCTGAACAACAAGAAAGAGATAATAATGAGATTATGATAATGATTTTAGTTCTAACAATCTTCACTTACGTAGAATTATTGAAAAAAACTGGCACATTTTAAAAGAAGATCTGGACCTTTTAGTATTTTTGTAGGTAATAAACCAAGATTTATTTTTACAAATTCTAACCAATAGTTTTTTTTAGAAAATAATAAGATTACAAGCAATAATAACTTTTTAAAAGAAAATAATGTTTTTTATTATTGTAGAGACTGTAGAGGGTGTAAGTTGAGATCAAACAAAGTGAGGAATGTAGAAAAAATTTGTCTCATTCACTACACAACAACACTATGATATTAAATCATATATCACTTGTAATTCAAGTGACGTGATCTATATGTTAACATGTCCCTGCGGCCTCAAATATATAGGGAAAACAAATAGACCACTTGAAATAAGGCTGAGGGAACATATTTATAATATTAATAGGACATTTTTAAATCATAGTGTATCCAAACATTTTCTTGAAGTTCATAATGGTGATCACAGTGGACTGGATTTTATAGATATTGATAGGGTCAGATTCCACTGGAGGGATGGAGATACAAATAATCTTTTATCAAAACTGGAAATGAGATGGATTTTTAACATGAATACTTTATTACCATATGGTCTAAATGTAGATTTTGAAAGCAATTCTCTTATATAAAATGCCTTTTTTACTTTTGTTTCTTCTTATTCTCTCCCCCATGAACATATACTTTTTTTTATCCCTATTTCTATTTTTATTCATAGAGGTGCTTTTTTTTTTTTTTTTTTTACACATAATTAATATATATTTAATATATATTTCTATATTTTTTTGTATAAAGGTTTTTAATAAGAATGCATATGTCATGCATCGTCTTACATATTTTTAATAATGTTTATTTAAATGATTTGTTTTTATTAAATTCTATGTGATTGTATGCAATTTTTCTCTTCTGTTTACCCAATGTGAACTCCATAAAAATGGACAATCTTTTTTGTTTTGTTTTAAGTGATATTGATTTTGAGTGTACAGAACACAAAGAACCATTAAAATGTCTGCTTATGCGAAGATCTGGCCAGGATGCAAGGATGCACGGATGCACAAAGTTTCGAACGTTCTGGCCAGCGCGGACTACATGCTGGGAATGTCCGACAACATAAAGTAAGGGCGGATTTACGTAATGACGTGACGTCACATCACTTTAGGATGGCGGAAGCGGAAGTACAGACCGGAAGTGATGCACATAAGCCCGAATTTGAAATAAAAGAGAGACTTTTGAGAGCTTGAAGACACTGAACCACTTTTGAGAAAGGCTGCTTGCTGAAACGCGTTAAGTGGAGGTTGACTTTTAGTTTTTTTATTGGGAGGGCTGTTTTTAAAATATTTTCTTCCAAATAAAGGATTTCTTCTTCTTGTATCCTGCATCTTGCATTTAATAAGAAGGTATTCCAGCGAGTAAGCTGAGGAACAGATTAAGATGGTCCCTGGAACAATCCACCTTATTACTTCAAGCTCTAAGTTTGAGCCAGCTTTGTTAAAGGCCAGCTTTGTTTTCCTGGCACTATAGTGCCCTGAGGGTGCCCCCACCCTCAGGGCCCCCCTCCCGCCGGGCTCCAGGGGGAGGAAGGGGTTAAATTTACCTCTTTTTCCAGCGCCGGGCGGGGGACTCTCCTCCTCCTCTCCTCCTCCTTCTCGTTGTCATCGGCTGAATGCGCATGCGAAGCACGAGCCGCACGCACATTTAGCCAGTCCATAGGAAAGCATTCTCAATGCCTTCCTATGGACGCTGGCGTCTTCTCACTGTGAAAATCACAGTGAGAAGTGCAGAAGCGCCTCTAGCGGCTGTCAGTGAGACAGCCACTAGAGGCTGGATTAACCCTATTATAAACATAGCAGTTTCTAGAAGAAAGGGTTAATCCTAGCTGGACCTGGCACCCAGACCACTTCATTAAGCTGAAGTGGTCTGGGTGCCTATAGTGGTCCTTTAAGTGACTCAGAACCATGTGAGTAAGTCCTTTAATGTGTATTTTACAGGTTTAACCCAAACTATAGTACCCTGCAGTTGTTTTTTTTTTTTAATTCTCAGATCCATTACTTATTAATCCAACTGTGGTAACCATTTATAGTGTGCTCTCACCACTTCCATTTATCGTTTGTTCACTTTAGAGTGGCTAACATTGGTGATTGTAGCACCAATTATATATATCATATCAATTCTTTTATTTGTATTTTATATTATTATTTTTTTATTGTTTACACATGTGCTTCAAATTTTTTCCATTTTGAATTTAGCGTTATTCCCACATTTAGAAAGCCTATTTTGGAAAATGCGCTAGTGTTTATTGCTTTACGGTTGTAAGAAAAAGTATGTGAGCTCTTTGGAATGATATGGATTTCTGCACAAATTCGTCATAAAAAGTGATCTGATGATCATCTAAGTCACAAAAATAGACAATCACAGTCTTAAACTAATAACACACAAAGAATGAAATGTTGCCATGTTTTATTGAACACACCATGTAAACATTCAAAGTGCAGGTGGAAAATATACCACATACACTGTGTGGGATGAAGCAAAATCTTCATTTTTGCTCTCCTTATGTGAGTATACCTCTTTTTAGTTATTTTTATCCCAGTCAAACAGAGAGCACTATATTCTGTTTTAATTATAAATACTAGTTAACTCCCACTACTGCAATACTGCACAGTGAAGCAGAATACTCACAAACGCTGGGCATCACAAATCATCTTCTGGTCTGGAACACCATCCATCCTACAAAGAACCAAGCTCAGCAATATTTCAACAGTCGGGGCATCATATGGCTAGGTGCACATATCTGGAACTGATCAAAAGCACCAGAAAATTGTTACTAAATTTACCAGTTATTTAAAATACTACAGGGGGCGGAGCCTGAAAGCGCACTGGAGCAGTCTCCATCTCTTACAGCTCCAAGTACCAGGATCACAATCCACAAAATACTAGCTGCATCATACCACTATTGGCCACTATAAGGGCAGAATCTGTAGTTGCCTATATTTCTCGTCCTGAATCTGTAGATGCCTTTTTTTTTCGCCCTGGGCAAGAAAATCTGCAGCCGAGGCCTCAAGGCTGGACTGGCAGAAATACTGTCCAACAGTCAGACAGCTGGAGAAATGGAGCGAAGGTCTCAAAACCCCCCTGCGAGCACTACCAAGACACAGCGTGACATTGGCCAGATGCTGCAATCCCTGACATCAGCACCAGTTTTAGCCTCACATGAGACATCACCCTCGCAGTCAAACAGCACGGTCTTACCTCAGAGCCCTGCCCTGAAAAGTCAGGGGACTTAATGCACGGCAGTGGAAACAGCTCCTGCTGCTATGAAACAAGAAATACAAGACATGCTTACTGCTCTCCAACAAAATCTTAGGAAAATGTCAGAAGTGGCCTGGCAGTACTTACAACAGAGATACAAGTCATTACAGCATGCACCCAGGTTACCGAGGAATAGGTACTTAAAACAAAAACAAAGCATAAGAGTGCTAGTGGAAATGGTTCAACAGCTGCAATCAGCACAGACCAACACCTTTTGACAAGTGAACATACTGGATGACAGGGAACGGAGGAAAAACATAAAGCTGAGAGGGATCCTAGAATCAGTGCCCCTAGAAGAACTGCTGCACTTTATAAGAAGGCTAGTGGCCTCCCTCCTACCAGCGAGACAAGCCAAATATTTTACTTTTGATGGGGTGTGCAGAATTTCTAAGTCAACACAGGCTCCAGCCACTGCACCACACGCCATTATCCTTCCATGCCACACTATATCTGAAATGATGGGACTGATAGCTGCACTGAAGGGGAAGTTACCATAAGACTTTGAAGCATGCTAAATTTCCTTCTTCTAGGACATAAGTAGATCCTCCCTGCTTTGGCGTAAATCTATGCAGCCTATCACAAAGATCCTCCAAACAGCAGGCTTGACTTACCGATGGTCGATTTGCATGGGAAATCATACAAAGCCACAGACCCCACAGAAGCTCCTGCTCTACTAGCAGCACTGGGCCTCTCCTCACAAAGCATACCCAACCAGGGACTATCTGGCTTTCACTCCTGGAATGTTGCCGAAATACTCACGTTCATGCCCAGAAGAGACAAGGGACCTACTACCTGAAACATTAACTGTATTTGACCTGCTCACATTGCATTTTTTTTTGTTTCTTTCACTATTTTCCTTCTTAAGTTAAAATTATCTTTACCTGTTGATCCTCTGTTCCTACACACAAGCGGTGAGGTTCCTGCCCGGTATCGCTGAGACACTTACCTGGTCTATAAGGTGCTTATTATGGGATCTGGTAGTATCATCCCACCCCATGGTACTGGGGTATAGAACGCAATGGAGCGAAAGGTTCAGTTAATGGTCCTTGGGCCATATTTAGCCAAGCATAGCATTTAGGTCAGCCCTAATGCCCCAAACCACGCTCGTCTATATCTAATAGCCCATTCAATAGCTACCTTGATAGGTAATTTACCTAGCATTAAAGTTGTACACTTCCAAGAACTACGTCTCCTTCGCTAGGAGAAGTTTTAGTTGTTGTTATTATTTCCTTTTGCATACATGTCACAATAGCTAGCATATTGACAATACGACTTCTAAAGTAGGGCTTTACCACGGAATATTGAGTTTACCGAATCGCACGCACAATTAGTAGCCAGAATACATGCGTCAGTCATATTCTAGCAAGCCCAGGAGCTCAAAGCC